ATCCTTGTCAGTATAGATCTTTACTGAAACATCTGAAGGATTGTAGAAGTGTTTGGCATGCTCTGTAGTGATCACTCTTACATCCACCTGAGGAAAATATAAAAGAGAGACAGATATATCCTGTGGGGGGAAATGATTGTAAACTCTCAGCAATCTATATTATTTCAGGCTCAATAAACTGGAATATCATCCACAAACTTCAAATTGAAAATCATACATGATATGTGATAAACTTTAAACATTTTAATTGTAATGATTATTATTTACTTTGATGCAGTAATTCATGCAAAACCACTGCAGCCACATAATGAGAGCATGTACTGTAGAGTTCATGGATATGATTTTCAGTAGGCTGACATTTATGGATTTTATTTTTGTATTGTACTAATATTTCAACTTCCTTCGAAATTAAATTTTGGGGTTCCACTAGCTGCAAGTGATAATCGTCATCCAAATTAATGCTTGAACTATATTACTGAGTTTATTTAATCTATATAATGCACAAAAGTATTACGGTTTAGATGATTTACGGTTTATATTATACTTTTTTCTTATTACATGTAACAGTGATGCACTTGAATTGTTACTGCCTAATGTCTCCACCTCGCGGCAAAGGTAAGGTCGTGCAGTTTGATTAACAAAAACGTGTGCTTGATGTGTTTAATGAAAACCAAGCTTTAATACGAACAAATCGGCTCACCCCGGAGAGTTGAAGAAGCTCGGAGACCAAAACTGGAAGTTTCAAAGCTGCGACGCTTCCTGTTACACCCACAAGAACACGAACCGTTCCGCAAGATTTCGACAAATCAGTCTTCAGAGACGAGACGAGATCGTCTGACTGCATATTAGCCGAAAAATCACCTAAATGAGATTGGTTAGCTGCAGAGGACCTGTACCACTTCCGTAAATACACTTCTCCATCCAATCACAGGAGGAGACCAAGCGAACGTGCACGAGTACGTCTCTGACGCGACAAATTGTGACCGCGCATTAGCAGAATATTCTGGCGAAGACCTCAGAGGAAGCTAGCATGCTGCAAAGGGACTTCATTCATTTCCTTCAGTGTTATTCAGTTTAAAACAAGCATTTTCTGAACTTTGACATGACGCTGACACCTCTTGTTTACTGGGCTCAACGTCACGAGGAAATTTACCTGCGTGTAGAACTGACAGACGCCCAGGTGAGTTCAACCCACCTGCTGTCTTGTTGGCAGCGCTCTTTGAGTTTTATTTAATACCGCCGACGTAAATATATGAATGCAAATGAAGGTGGCTGTTGGTTTGCATGCTGGTATATAAATATAGATTATCTTATGTGATAGGACATACAAGGCTCTCTGTTACTTCCCCACAAACACGTTAATAACTGTGTGAAATGAGATGACCGCCAGGGCTTTAAGAAAATGTGTGGGTGGTTCTCGGAGTAATAAACCCTGAAAAAAAGCCTCTGGGCATTATGAAACGCGGGGGGCGGATTTTTCTTTATCAGGGTGTTGTCCACAATGACCATCCTAAACTTCACAGCAGTTTACCGCAGTCTCCGGTACATTTTCCCTTTTGGATTTACTAAAAACATTTCTAAAGACTCCGTCTTTTATTGCCGTTTATTAATGACATAGACTTGAAATAGAGCGCGTCCGGGGCGGAGAATATTAAGGTGTTAAACAACCCTGGTTCTTCAGAAGTTGCTAACAAACATTATGAATAACAACATAGTTAAATCTCAGTATTGGTTTTGGACTATAAAAGGTAGGTTTATTTTGCGTTGAAGTCATTCACTTTTTTATAATTTTTTCTTTTTTTTTAACTTTGCATTATTGTGCAAACAGGAAGAGAATGCTACTTATATTCTTATTCCGTAAAAGGAAGTGCTCACTATCTGTCTGTTTCTGCAGAATATTGATGTTCTAGTGCATGAGAATGTCCTTAAATTTCAAGGTGAGAATTGTTTCTTTGTATCCTTAGTATAAATTTTTTTAAAGATTTTTCAGCATGTTTAAAGTGTTTTTCTTTTTAAAAAGCACACAATTTGTAACTTTCTTTGTGATGCTTTCTGCAGCTCTGGGGCGTGGTGCTAAAGGACAGCACAATTATGAGTTCAGCTTAGAGTTTCTTTTACCAGTAAAAACAGAGGTATGCAATTTTTTTTCAAGTTCTGTTTTTCTATTTCGCTTTTTCTTTCTTTCTTTCTGTCTTTTTTTTTTTTTTTTTTTTTTTTGTGACATAATTTGTCAGTAATTTGTGCTTTCAGGTGAGCCACAAGTCCACACAGCGGCAGGTAAACATCACAGTGCGGAAACAGCAGCGAGGCTGGTGGGAAAGGCTGACTGTGCTGGAGCGTAAACCGGTTTTCCTGGTGCCAGACTTTGACCGCTGGCTGGACGAGTCAGACGCTGAGATGGAGATCCAGGAAAAGGTGATTTAAAATTTGATTTCTTTTATTTTACTATCACCCAATCTGTTTTTGTTTACGCAGTCTATGTTAATTTCTACAGGTGTTTTCAACATGACAAAATGTTTCTTTTGCCAACATTGTGTGTTGGAATTTCTTTTTCAAAAATTGAAGTAATTATTCCTCTTCAATAATTCTTCTTATTTCTCCTAATTTTGTTAAGGAGGATAAAAAGAACAGACTGAAGACTGTGAGGCATACAGAAGAAGGTAATTATGAATTCTGGTCAATGACTATCGTATCTGGAGATTTTCAGCTCGTTTCTTGAAATATTACCTTTGCCTACCTTTTGGCGACATGGATAAAATGTCTAATAATTTAATGTTTCAGGGTTTATTAGCCTCAAAACAAGCTTTTTGCTTGTTTACAACCTCGTCCAGTTTCTTGGATTTTCATGGATCTTTGTCAACATGACTGTACGCCTCTTCATCTTTGGGCAAGGTCAGAAATAGTAGTGGAGCGTAGTTTTCTTTCTGTTTTTATTATTTTAATTTTTTTTTTGCCCTTTTTAATCAATAACTTTAACCTCTGAAACTAATTTCAGATTCACTCTATGACACGTTTCACACCATATCAGATGTGATGTTCTTCTGCCAGACCTTGGCATCAGTTGAGGTGTTGAATGCTGCTTTCGGTGTGGTTCGAACTGGTGTTATTCCCACTCTCATACAGGTACAGCACAGTCCTTTGTGAGTTTTATAAGCCAGTTATTACAAATGGAGTAGAAATGTGTAAAAACCATTTTGTTTTTTGTTTTTTGGTAGGTAGTTGGAAGGAATTTTGTCCTCTTCATCATTTTTGGTAGTCTGGAAGAAATGCACCACCGACCCGTTGTGTTCTTTGTTTTCTATCTGTGGAGCGCCATTGAGATTTTTAGGTAAGTATAGGTGTGTCTCATTAAGTTGAAAATTTATTAAAAAGTTTATTTATTTCCACTGTAAAAATTAAAGCTTGGATATTTATTCTTATTTACACACAGATATTTTAAGAATTTTAAAATGTTTATGATTGGGGCTCGCAGCTCATGAACGTTCATGTCCAACATCAGTGGGACATGAACGGTGGACGTGAATACTGTTCTGGCATGAATACTGTTCTGGCAGAATGGTCAAAAATTGCCATAAACACTTATTTTGTCGAAAGCCTTCCAAGAAGATCTGAAACTGCTACTGTTGGCAAGTTAAACTATAGGGATTACAGCTTCACATTCATTTGTTTGTGAAGCTGACAAGTAAATACTTTTGGCTACATAGTGCAGACATATTTAACAGAATATAATTTGATTATATTCTAATTTATTAAGATACACCTGTTATTAATGCCACATTGTTCCAAATATAGAGAAGCAAAGGTAATATTTTGATTTTGTTACCAAGCATGCAGAATATTTTCATTTTTCATAATCATCATCCGCAGGCTATTTAAGCTACAGTTACAAAGATGTATTGTAATAAATGCAAATGTTAGCCTACAAGCACACATTACATTCTCCTTTCAGGTATCCGTTTTACATCCTTGGCTGCTTTAACACAGAGTGGAAAACTCTCACTTGGTTGCGCTACAGTGTCTGGATACCGCTGTATCCATTAGGTGTTTTAGCTGAAGGTGAGTTAGTTCATGTGCGAGTACATTATTTCTTTTACATCAACATAATTGATATATATCTGACGTTTTTATCCCATATAGCTGTTGCAGTGGTACAGTCCATCCCCATATTTGACCAAACCAAGCTCTACAGCATTTCTCTGCCAAAAGCCATTGGAACTTCCATCAACTTCTCTTACGTCTTGCATGTCTATCTGGTTCTCATGTTTCTGGGTAAAGTCAACAAACGGGAAGAAAAGCAGTCTGTTCTGTATCAAATGCATTTCTTGTAGTTCTGACTGTTTGTTTTTTTCTGCTCCGCAGGGCTTTTTATCAACTTTCAGCACCTTTACAAGCAGAGGAAAAGGCGCTTCCGGACCAAAAAGAGGAAGGCACAGTAATTCTCAGCACTAACAGTAACCCTCCAAAGCCGCTACTGCCTGCACACATTTTCATAGCCGACCCTGCTTTAGTTCAGAACATTTTTTTTTTTAAGTGAATTCCTTTTCTTTCACCCCTTTTGCTCTTTTAAGACTTCCTCTACTTTTTACCATTCTACATATTGTGCAATGATAAAATTGCAGTCACATTCACTAGTAATTAAGTTCTCATAAACCTAACATTCTAGATTATTGAGCCGCTGTCAAGATCGTGTTGGATGTGTTTTTTTTTTTTTTCTCTCAATGATGTTCATGATTGCTCGATTACCTTATTTCTCACTATCAGGTTCTGAAAATATGACCTCACTATCTTCACCTGATGTACAATCATTGCTTTTTAAGTGAAAAAGGAATGGTATCCTCTAAATGCATTGTTTATTTTCTTTTCTTTCTCAAAGATCTGTGAAAAAGTAGTGACCTTTCAGTTCAACTGAATGATCCACCATGAATTTTATTATCCTTTCCTTTTATTATTCTAAATGTCCTTGAATTGTCATTTTGATAACTTATGACACTGAATAAACATTTTAGAAAGAGGAGTAATTTAATTAGTGGTCAATTTGGGAAATACATTCTATAAAGAAACATGTAAAAAAAAAAAAAAATCAAAATATGTACAACACTTTCAGTTTCCCAACAGACATTTTGTACAAGCCCAGTTTGTATGGCTGCAGTTCACTCTGGCTCAGTACAAGCCGAGTCACAGCTTGTACATTGTGACTCAGCTTGAGAAGTCTGTGTGCATGGGGACAATGTTGTGATCAAAAGCTGCATACTGGGAATCACCAGAACTGGCTAGTTTGAGTTGGTGTGCGGCATGAGAGAGCTGGAAAGCAGCATCTGGATGGGCCGAGTCGGGCAGCATAGTGCACTCCCTCTCCAGCAGCTCGGCCACGCCCTTCAGGAGCTCCCAAAAACCAAAAGCCAAGGCAGCTTTCCGCAGACGATTTAGCTCCTGGTGGAATTAAAAAACAGAAATCGGATGTTTTACTTGTATTTAGAAAAAAAAAAAAAGTTTCTACATGTTTTTCTAAATCATTCGTGCTAAACCTACCTTATAGAAGGTCTGAGTTTTATCAGGTAATTTCCTTGCGTTCCTCAAGATCTTCTGAACATCAGTCTGTACGAAGACAAAGAAAAACTTGTTAAAAAACTGACAACTATTTAACATATACAAAACATGACTTTTCAAAAAATTCTTAAATCTTGAACTTTACACCTCACTACCCATGAGGATCGTTTTTAACAAAGAACTACTGTAGTTTTAGTTTAGGTGCTTCCACTTTGTTGGACTTTTAGGTTATAATCCATAATGCACTATTTGTCAGATGTTGTGAGCAGTGAACAGATTGTTTTAGCCGTGTTTTTACTGTACCTGCAGTCCGCTGGCTTTTATCCACACAGTGACATTCTGAGCATAGCTTCGCTTGACCTGTGGCTGCACAGGGAACGGACTTTTACTGTCATCCTCTCCGTACGGATTTTCAGCAGCCTCTGTAACACAATAAAGATGGCTGTGCATCAGAGGAAAGTCGGTCAATCCATATCATTATGATCGAAATGGAACACCGAGTAATCATTAACTGATGTACACAAATAAAAGACCTTTGATCTGCACAACAACAGTGACCCATACAAGCATTGGGGAGTTGTATGCTTATTCAAATTTGCACAAGAATTCAAAAACAGCTTTAGGACACAAGAACCCTAAATATTATACAGCAAACAGATGTATTTGAAGTAAGATGTTACCTGAAACTGGTCCCAGATGCGAGATCTTGCCTAGCCAAGGTAGAGGATCGGAACCAGGCTCAAACAAAGACATCATCAGGTTTGACTTCTTCTTGCTGTCTGCTTGGGAGTACAACATGCCAAACCACTCTGGCCTGGGATCAAAGCAGGACATTTACTGAATTTAGAGATCATTCACAAAAATTAACTTGCTGTCATGTAATGTAGGACATCCCATGTATATCGGCTCTGTTATTGCTCACCCTAGTTGGACCAGAGCCACCATCCCCTCAACCTTTAGACTTCCATGTAAAAGAACACAAAAATTTGGGCTTTTCCCAGCCATTTGGCTCGCTGAAGGTTCCTCTTCAAGTTCATCAGTGGCTCCTGTGCCAACTTCATCCACTTCTGAAATTAGGTGCAAATATTTGTTACAACACACACAAATCAAGAATTGAACTTTTTTTTATTGTTGATGCTATGCTGCTCCACAAATCACTCTCAGCAAAACAAAAACAAACCTTTGTTAACAGCAATGGGAAGAACCAAGTGTCTGGATATTACAGGGGGGCTGGAGATGTCAGCAATTTCAATGAAGCCCACAATTTCCAAATCTGAAACAAAAACAAACATACATAACCCATGTGAATATGTGAATTTATTTCATAATAATAATAAAAAAAAAGTTTAAATGATTTTCAATCCCTGACAAGTACCTGTGCTGACAGCTTTGGGAATAGGCTCCACCTCCTCGTCCACCACCACCGGCTCGGGACGGGGGAACACCTGAACATCTGAAGACAGATTCCCGCAGTGCAGGACCGCGTGGAAGGGGGAGTACGCCCGGTCAATCAACATGCTGGAGGAATGGAAATGACAGGGCAAAGAAATATGCGTCATTCAGCATAGTAATAAACAACTGAACAAATTAACAACTCTGATAATCAGCTCAACCTTACCCAAACATTGCTTGTACACTCTTCATGCAAAGTGGTCCATCCACAGTGAAGATCTGTCCATCCCCTCCACTGAGACGAAGGAGCTCCTCCAGGTTTTCCATGGCGTCAGTCATTTGCAACTTAAATAGCACAAAACAAGTGCTCATTATTGGAACTATCAAATGGAATACTTAAATATGACACAAGTTGATCTTGAGTTGCAAACATGTTGTATAACGAACAGGTTGACACAATTATGTATAAAATTCTAAAATTAATAAAATTATTTGCAAGGAGAAAGAACAGTAATAGATGATGGGAAATTAGACTTAAATTACAACATGATTCTTGCAGCTCTATTACATTTAGCCATTTAACTCCACAGAATTAGACTGAGTAACTGATTTGAAATCAAGGTAGAATGCCAACAGAAATGTGGACTGCCGTACCTCCTCTGCATTGGCTATACACAGGATGAACATTTTGGTGGGGAAGGGGTAAGGGAGTGGAAACTTTTTGTCATCACCACGATGTTTCAGGGTTTGAAGAGAGTGGCGTAGGGAACCCTTTCCAATCCCAAGAGATCCGTCTGTAACCAGCACCACCTACAGGACAAAAGAGGGAAATGCATAACCGTGAGCAACTAAGGATGAGGTATTACTGAAATAGCAGGGAAACAAAGTGAAAGAGTAAAATTAAAAGGGCTGCTTCAAACTCACAACCTGAAAAATGATTATACTGAACATAATGAAATTACATAGTGTGCAAGTGTAATAGTTACTGGAAGTAAGATTAGTTTGAAAAACTTGAAATGCAATTTCATGAAAAGGTAAAGGGATCTCAGATATTTGAAAGTGGAAGAAATAGCAGTTACTTTAAAAATGACAAATTAAGCTTTAAGGGCTGTTTGGGTTTCTCTTTTTTTAGCGACTCTTGGGTGTGTGGGGGGTACACACAACTGCAACGATGCAACTTGGAATCAAAGTTTCACACGTAGTAACCAACAAAAGAAGACTAATGATGTCTTCTTTCAATCACATGGGTAAATTATTTTCCCCAATAACATCATTTTTCAATGTAAAAAAAAAATCAGAAAATGTTTCCTATTGGACAGATCAAATTTACTTAACAAAATTCTACTTTGTACCGAATATGTACAAATTAATGACATAGAAAACCTCCCGTGTGAACACAACTACCAACCTAATAAACTAAGAGAATTGCTGAATACCTGACAGGGACAGCCATTGCCCCACTCCTGCTGAACAACGCTACTGACTCCTTGTAGAGCCAGCTCAAGACATGTTTTGTCATAGTCTTCCAAGTTACTAAGTGCCTCCTGCAAACAAAAACATAGACAACCAATTTTAATACTGAAGATATATTGTGTTTTGACTTTACAGGCATAAACTGATGTTACCTGTAACGCATTGTAATCCCTAGTGAAAGGCACCAGCAGCTCCCAGAGGGAGGAGAAGGCCATCAGTGCGGTGAACTCCAAGCGATAGTTGGAAGCCATGTGTTCAAACAGCATGTTGAGTCCGTGGACAGCCAGGTTCTTCCTCTGGAACTCCTCGATGCCATCCAGGGACACTGGTCGTGTCATGGACAGTGACACGTCCATTAAAACCACTGTAGGCATTGCTGTTCACCGCCGATCCGATATCCACAATAAAACAGTAGATTTAAAACTGCTTCCAACCGTCCGATTTACGGCTTTACAGCAAAAATCACTGAAAACTATCAAGCTTCAATTAGAAAAAAAACGTCATTGATGGCGTTTGAAACTTAATTATACAGGTTAGTACAGGCTAACGGAAGCTAGTTTGTTAGCCTTCTGCAATGTAGCAACTAAAAGAAAGAAACATTCCCTACATTATTCATCAAATATAAAAGGATATATATCCATGAGTAAAAACGCAGTGGAAAAATCATGTATGAAAAATAAAAACAACTAACACTCTAGTCGTTCTTGTTATTTAGCTTGTGTTGCATTATAAGTGCACCAACAATTCCGTCCGACAAACAACTTGTAAATATATAGTTCCTATGTAATCTAAAATTTTGCGGAAATTACAACGATTGAATATGAAGCACATATTTAGAGCTGAACTAATATCTACAGACATCTGAGATATAAAATGGGGGGAAAAAAATCTAATTTTGTCTTTTCTAACTCCTATTTTATATCCACTCTTGGTAGTTTGGTGTGTTTGATGCCCCATGGAAATAAATTGTCACAAAAATGCTGAAATCCGACCCTTAATTTATTTTTTTTAGATTTGTGTAATATTTGCGAACTTTATTTCTCTTTAAAACTTGTTTGTATTGTATTTGGTTCTGATCCAAGTTTGTCCCTTCTGGGACCACTCTCACAAAATACACGAAAACGCCACGCCCGATAAAACCCCGAAAAAAATCTTATCGACTTCCTGTTGGTGAATCCTGTTCTTTTTTAGTGTGACAACAAATTTTGCAAAGGTACGAAGGAACGTAACTGCCAGCACCCACTCGGCAACCAACTCGGCAGCGACTGTTTAGTGAAGTTGGTAAGAACCGACATTTGGAACTGTTCAAAAACGTTTCACTGTTTGTCCTGCAGATGGCGCCGATTTAGTAAAAGACTATTTTATCTGCGACATCTCCTAAAGTTGCTTTTTTCCTTGTTTGTATTATCTGAAAACTTGCTTGAATGTCATCCTTGATTTTGTAATCTGAAGAATAGAGGAAAAACGTAAGTCTGTGCACACTTTCTTTTCGAATATTGGGATTTTAAGTCTCGTTATTATTATTATCCCTATATGTAACATTTCTATAGACGTGAAGTTTGTCCAAATTGGTTTACTTATTCTTCAAACTCATTTTATTTAGCCAAATAAATATTTTCACCTGATATTTTATGCTGCTCTTGACAGTTTGTCACCATAGCACCAGAACAGCTCGTCCTCTTTTTCTGTTGTCGTCTATAACTGTAGCATGAATTAGGGTCAGCGTATTTCTTTGCAATATATTTTAACATATTTTAGACAAATTTGATTAAACAGGTTTTTAGTTTTATTTGTAGTTTTGCCATGTTTTATATATGTTCTTTAATGTAATCATAATTAATGTTGTGCATTTAAACTGTAATTTATATCACCTGTTAACATTGGGAACCGTTGCTCTGTAATTTTAGGATCATATGTTATTTAATCGCATAAGGGCAGAAGCTGGACTGACTTTAACCACCATCATGATTTCAATGAATCGACATAAATAGTACACTTTTCAGAGTTCTCTATTTTCCTTTAAAGGGAAAAAGCTTGAGGGATTTAAACTGTTTTATTGACTTTAAATGCTTGCAGAAAAACTAAGTTTCATCTTGACTTGCTACCAAACTGTTAATTGAATTGAGACTTTTTCTTCTTTACAAACAGGTTTGCCCCTAACACATAAAGACCCATACCCAAATAAGACAGCAGGAAATGTGGATCTTTTAACTCTGGGGTTTGGGGTTTTATTAAAGACATTTTTTATTTATTTTTTTTTTTTTTTTGAGCTAAGCAAGTGAATCACAAGATGGAGACTACAAGATGTCGGTCTCCGCAGCTGATTGTTTTTGCTGTTGTCTTCCTTGGTACCCTTCACAATTGGATCGTTGGTGCTGAACTCACTTTTACTTTGCCTCACATGGTAGACGATTTTGAAAAGACTACAGATCACGCAACGGAGGAATTTCCTGTTCAACATTCTACATATTCAACTCCATATAAAGAAGGACCTGAACATAAATCTTCATTTTTGGATCCAATAGATGATCACCATCCTTCATCGGAGACATCCATAGCTGATCCAGCCTCCCGTGTCCGACGGATAAACACGATATACTTTAGTGATCTTTTTTCTATTGAGGATCGGAGACATGGATGGGTGGCCCTGCATGTTTTTGGGATGATCTACGTTTTTGTGGCACTTTTAATTGTGTGTGATCAATTCTTTGTTCCTTCGCTGGGGGTCATCATGGAAAAGCTGGCCATCTCAAATGATGTTGTTGGAGCCTCGTTCATGGCTGCAGGAATAGCCGTCCCATGGTTCATTACCAAGCTAATCCAAGTCCTCTACTATCACTACAATTTAACTGTGAACATTAACCCAACTATTGGCGCTACAGCTTTCAAAATGTTGTTTGTGATTGGAACATGTGCCATGTTTTCTGCAAAGGTTCTCCCTCTACGTTGCTGGTCATTTTTCAGAGACTTATCATTCTACATGCTTGGCTTCATTCAACTGATCATTTTCTTGTCGGATAGTGTTGTCGCATGGTGTGAAAGTGTGATTCTGGTAACCGTTTTTGTACTCTACATCACCTTTTTGATATATGATGAGAATGTGGAACAAATAATGAAGACCCAACTCCAGAAAATCAAAGGGGTGATGAAAGCTTCATTTGTGAAGAAATGCAAAAAGGTGCTCCCGATAGAGGTAAAGCACTTATGGTATATATGACTATATTTAATATTTCACTGCAGAATTACAGTAAAATGTGTTTTTAGAATTTTGTTTCGCTATGCACAATTTTTAGGTTTTTGAGTTCAAGTTTGAGTGCTGAATTTTATGTAAACCTCAACTTAAAGTTTACTGCCCCAATGCTGTATCTGAATCCTTGCAAAGTATTTAAAATAGATTGTTTTTTTTTCCTGTGGAACTAAGGGTTAATGATCTCTGAAGAAAAAAATAATTTGTGTTAGTCCAAAATTAGTTTGCTGAAAAGAGCACTACATTAGACATAATTAAGATAAGTTTAGTGACTGACTTTTACAGTCAACACATTGACTGTGTTGACTTTATAATTAATTGTGTATAATAGTTGTGTATTATACAATTGTGTATAATTGTGTATCAGTGAAAGAAAAGTCACGTTTTTGTCGTGCTATTTCAAATGCACATATTTTACCATCTCTGGCGATGAAAACCTGGATAGATGTCGAGGATGTGCGAATCAAGTACTGTACAAGTATTCGTACTAGATATCGCCAGCAGATATTGAGACACATTTTTTTATTAGGTTTATTTTATAGTGACAGACAAATATTAACATAGACTGAACTGAACAGAACAGAACAGCAGTCCCATACTTGTATCATGGTGCTTATTACAAATTACTAAGGCCTTACATGTCATTTTTGTAGTTTGTTGTAACCTTTTTAAAGCCATGTTAGAGTGGTATGTTGAGACAAATGCATGTCACTTTTGAGAAAAACGCAGGAGAGATTGTAGCATCAGGCAAGTCATTGGTGTGTGAGTTAAGTGGGACATAATCACAAAGCTAATTTTGAAGGTGTAATGTTGATGAAACATATAGCACACAGCCTCTACTTTCATGAAGCATCTCACTGCGGCGTGGTATCAATAAATGCCTATTAATAATTTATTTGGATTGCCCATCAGGGACAAATATCCTGATGTAAACATTCTTAAATGCATCGTGGCTCTCTTTTATCTCAGTACAACTTTTTTGTGGAAGTTACTTTTTAATCCTTTTTCTTTCTCTGATGTTTAAAGTGCTCCATTTATCTTTTGTTTGTCACATTTAAAACAATCCCCCCCCCAGGTGTGTACACCTGAAGGTGAGAATGATGCACAAGGCCCTGGAGACTGTGATGAGGAATGTGGCAATGAAAACAATGGCGGATGCAATGAAAAGAAGTTTGTTGAGAGCAAATTGCTACAAGGAGCTACATCTCTGTCTTTACGATGGCCTGACAAATGGCAGGAACGAGCCGCCTACATTATCCTGTTGCCAATCATCCTTCCTCTGTGGCTCACACTTCCCAGTGTTCATAATCAGGTAAGGTCAGATTAATGTTTTGGATCTTTCAGAGTAATTGTTTTTTTACTACTTGACCTATGATTTTATTTTGGTGTTTGATTCACAGAAAGCCAGAAAATTCTTTGTGCTGACCTACCTCGTTTCCATTGTGTGGATTGGGATCTTCTCCTACCTTGAGAGGTGGTGGGCTCATCAGGTGCAGTGTTTCTAAAAAAAAAAACAGCACTGTTGTTCTTAAATAAGAGTCTAATTTTGCACTGAATTACTTAGGCTGTATGTGTGTTTTCATCCTGGATTTTGGACTTAATCCTACTAAACAGTATTTTTGTATTTTAAAGGTGGATGAGACGTTTGGTGTGATGGGTCCTATGACATTCGTGGGAGCACTGATGTCCAGCTCTGATTTTATAACTAGCCTAATAGTGGCTCGTAAAGGCCTTGGAGACATGGTTGTGTCCGGTAATTTGGGCAGTAACATCCTTACTATGACTCTATTGTGAGTAAATAGATTGAATTGTCATTGCTCAGATAAGATGAGAGAACAGGTGTTCAAAGATTTGTTGGTCTCACTGTTATTTCTGTGTTATTTCATCCAAAAGTCTTCCAGTGGAATGGTTCCTCTACTCAGCCATCCATGGTTTCTCCCCTGTAGCTATCTCGACTGAAGGCCTCTTCTGTGTCAGTTTCCTCCTCTTCGTCATCCTCCTTGCTGCTGTCATCTCCATTATATCTTTTAAGTGGAGGATGAAGAAACTGCTTGGCCTCACCTTGGTCCTTCTCTACCTTATTTTTATTGTCATTAGCATATTGATGGTGTTTCAAATCATTATATGCCCTGTGTAAAAAAAAAAAAAAAAAAAAAAACTCGAAATATGTTTATGTATTTTCTTGGATTCTTCTCTATAAAACGGATCCATCCTGACATCTATCAGGGTTTAAGGAAAGAAGTTTAAAAGAGTTAGCGTGATAATCAAATTATTATCAATATACCAGCTGAATACATTTCATGAATATAAATATATATTTTAGCTGTTAAATAATAACATAGGTGCCGTTTTAACAACAAACTTGGCCCCTAGTGAAAAAGTAATTGTCACTTTTCCTAATTGAAGGCAACTGCCATCAGTTGTTTGCAGGAACTGGCAGAGAGTCTTTCATTGCTGATGAGAAATTTTGGTCCACTCCTCTTTAAATGGTTGCTTTAATTCAGCAGTATTACAGAAGCATTGATCACGATTAGCCTCGTTATGGTCATGCCGCTGCATCTCAATCCAATTTAGGTTCAAACTTTCACTAGACTACTCCAAAACCTTCAAAACATCCCATACCATTCAGAGGTGGACTTGCTAGTGCACCATTGTGCCTTATGTATACAGCCTAAGTTCACTTATGCTATCTACCTTTGTCTCATCAGTCCAAACCAGTCTTTTCTTTCTTTAGATCAAGACATGGATGTGTTGTTTTTGGAGAACTTATTTTTTGTTGTCAGACATGTTTTTGTTAAAGTGCTTTGTTGATTCTACAGGCCTCCATGTAAAACTGTAAAATTAAACAACCGAAAAATAGGATCAATAACAGTTAATTCATGACTCAACTAAAGGCAGTGATTACTTTTTTGTTTTACATAGGCCGAGCTTTGATAGCTTTTTCCCTTAGTAAAAGGGAAAATCATTTCGCTTGCACTCTAGTTGTCTCAGTCAGATCTTCTAATTTACATCATGATGTGAAACGTTATATTGTGACTAAAAATGCAAAAACAAAGGAAATCTATATTAAAGCAAATACTTTATAAGAATATAAAATAGTTTTTGGTGTGTACTTTTTCACTATTTTTTTGTTTAATAAAAAACAATGTGCTGAAATCCGGTGGTTTTGTTCACATAAAGTTAGATTTAAAAACTTTTAGATTTAAAAGAGCAGGTAAGCTAAGCTCTAGAAGACATAATGTACTTTATTAAAATTACTGTCTTGTTTCTGTGTCTTTAATATACAATTTCTTGATATATAAAGGTAGCATAACACTTTTTACTTGTATGTTATTCATTGTCTTTTTATTAAATTATATAAAAAGTATATCCATAAAAATGCCGTGTGTGACCTGTTTTCTCTTTAGGGATTTAAGGTTTTGTGTACATCTGCTGTTCATTTTTCTGATTTTTCTTTGCAAGATTCAAAGCTCAAATACTTGCACAAACAAGTCTAAGCAACATAACTTAGATTTTTACGGATGTTTCTAGAGAAGTTGTGACGAAAACTTTAATTTTAATTCACTCATGTTTTTGTCAAGTATGTCATTATAAATTAGCTAACAACCTACACAAGCCTCCTCTAAAGGATGTCCTCAGACATACACTCACGGCACAGAGGTTGACTTATGTCAGGTCGTACACAAGAACTTATTGGAGTGTTGAATGTGAACATCCTGTTTCTCAAGAAAAGTCACCCAGGTGAAAACATTTCAGAAATGATAGAGGAAGAGTTTCAAAATGTAAATTCCTTCATTTTCAGTCCTACATCTATGCACTATGACACCTTGCTTACTTTTACTTTACATCGTACGGATCACTGCTGAGGTTACATTTGCAAAGTGAGAGTGAGACAATGCAGCTAATCCTCTTAGAAGACTTCAGGTGTTAGGTATTATGTTGATCCATTGTGAAGACTCGTTCTGTGCCCTACATAAGCCTTTAGTCGTTGGGCAATAGTTTTTGTCCGTGCAAGTACATTTAACCTGGAAAAGCTGCATTGGGATTTTGTGCCATTGACTGCACGTTAATTATAAGGTAAGTCTGTATCATTACTTGTTTTTTTTCTTTCTTTGTTTTTTTTTACCCCTTTATTTCATTATCTTTTCTAATTAACATAGAAAGATAATGACCTAACCTACCTTACAGGTTAGTTGAATTTTATCATCAAAAATCTTGTCCAGTCTTTATAAATTTCATCATTTTGTCTAAATGTCTTGCAATTTTTTATGAGTGCTTTTCTGAATGTTTAAATTGAGCTGGACTTGTGACTAATTTTGGTGTATTCTTCCATCTACAATAGGTTGAATTTTCCACAAACTCAATGATGTGACATGAATCACTCTACTTTTACCCCATGGTCTGTTGGGGACAGAGCTGGACTCTACCGAAGCTTATTTATGCTGCTTAATTCAACCTAGCCACCCGGAGCGCTGCTTTGGAGGATGATGCATTGTCATAGAAGGAAACGGCTCCAGCTGAGCCGGGTTCTGTTTCTTCTCTCCGGAGTTTTTCTCTGTACCCTCTACCAGCTCACCATTAGTGCCAGGCTGCAGGCACCAATGCCAGTGGCTCAGATTGGAGAGGATTTCGGAGAAGGGTCAACAGAGGGCGTTGAGGATGCCACAGCAGAACCTGGCCAGCTAGAGGAACCTCTCACTACTGCGCCCGACTCAGAGCCCACAGATCAAACAACACCAACGCATGTGAATCCTCATACTGATAAGGATTTAAATACAAACACACACACGGATATAACTAGTGATTTCAAAGAAGCCTCTTCCACTGAATCCACACTGTTGCCAACCACAAACCGGACTTTGGTGCATTGCATCTACGTGGCCCCAGAACCACCTCTGGTGACACCCACCCCAGTTCCAACTCCACCAGTTACAACCGTCTCCCCAGCTCCACCTGGTGAAGCTCCTCATGTCAAAGGCGAATACCCTGAAGATATCTTTTCCATCGAAGATCGCAGACGAGGATGGGTGCTTCTTCACATTATGGGAATGATGTACATGTTTGTTTCTCTTGCGATTGTCTGCGACGAGTTCTTTGTGCCCGCACTGGGAGTTATCACAGACAAACTGGCCATCTCTGATGATGTAGCAGGCGCCACCTTTATGGCGGCCGGAGGCTCTGCACCTGAGCTCTTCACCTCTCTTATAGGAGTCTTCATCGCCCACAGCAACGTGGGCATTGGCACAATAGTCGGCTCGGCAGTTTTTAACATTTTGTTCGTGATTGGGATGTGTGCTTTGTTTTCTCGGGAGATTCTCCATCTGACCTGGTGGCCGCTTTTCAGAGATGTTTCATTCTACATACTTGACCTCATCTTACTGATCATCTTCTTCTTGGACAATGTCATTATGTGGTGGGAGAGCATGATGCTGGTGACCTGTTACAGTCTCTATGTTGTCTTTATGAAGTTCAATGTGCAACTGGAGCGAGAGTTCAAGACCCAGCTCCACAAACACAAGAGCATTGTGAAGGTTATTGCTGTGGAAGAACCTGAAAAGGTAAGCAGCTATGTAATAAAACATCTTTATGCTTAATGTCCTGGATTACCTATTTAGCTTGATACATCTCTGTTAAGGCTTTTATAGTTAAAATTATTTTCATTTGGTGCTGGACAACTAAAACAATGTTCCAGGAGAATCAGGAGTGAAAATAGCTACTCTTTCTTTTTTTTTTCTTTGTACTCAGTTTATTAAATGAATGAACATTTATATGTTTAACAGTTTAAAGAATTTTGTAAATAAAAATACACATGTTTAATAAATAATTATGTTTCAAGAATCAATAAAATAATAATAAAGAGATTAAATGTGGAAATCACCATTAGAAAATGTTTAATTTATTATATATTAAAACATATGTATTACTTGTCATTTAATTATTTTTTAGAGCTGTTTTACACTCTGTTGAATTGATTTTTATGTTTTAGCTCTAGCTGTCAAAGTTAGACATGGCCAGCACTGATATAAGGAAGGTGATTGGCCAGCAGGTGATCTGGTGTGCATGTTAACCAATCAAATGTCAGAATCTGTGTATTTGACAATAATGACAGTTTGAATTATTTCATTAGGGACTTTTGTAAAATAAATTTGAAATCAACTAATAAATATTGATATAATGATATATATTTTAACATTTAAAGCATTCAAGTTTTACTTCACATTTTGTGTTTAAAACATTCCCATGACACATCCCAAAAATATAGACAAATTTATTCAGATTTATTTAAATGATCACATATATAAAATTACATTTGACAACTTATTAATTCGTTTTGCAATAGTAGCTCTTTTGACCTTTGATACACACAGTATGCCTGCGTTATATTCTTTTGTCAGTGTTACGCAAAGTAGCATTTATGTGAAGGAAGCAGCATCTGTTGTCACGTGTGACATTTCATTGATTCATTAAGGTTGAAGAAAATGTGAAATGAAACTAGTGTTCGCTTGGCCTGTGCAAACCAAAGCTGATCTGCTACATCAAACAAATCTTTTTTTTTTTTTTGTTCTGCAGAGCTGCACAAATTGTTGCATCAACATTCATTTCCTTATCATTGGTTTGAGAGATTGAGACCATAACAAACTTAAATTTGTTTTGCTTACTTATAATGGAAATCTTTTGTTGTGCTGCTTAAGCTAGGCATAGTAATGATGCAATTATTGACTTATATTTGAAGTCATGCATAACAACACTAGAGTGTACAGTGAGTGTACATTTTGAAGTGAGGACAGGTTCACTTACAATGCTAAGCTAGTCCAAGGCATGAAGATATGCATGTTTAATAATGCAGTACATTATTACTGGTAAGACCTCAAGAGTGTTGAAACTTTCATAAATTGTAGTAAAATAATATACATTTGAATGATTATCACTGAAACACACATTCTTGCACACAGACAAATGGGGAAGGAGAAGATAATGCCCCTCCTGCTCCAGAGGACAAGAATCGGTTAAAGGTAAAAAATAAATAAATAAGAAAATTAATCAACCAACTCCAGGAAGTGATAAACTTCTAACTCCCTGATACCACAGTGCTGATTGTTACTGTTTTCATGCATATTTTGAGTTTTTCTGTTTGTGTTCCTGCTCACTAACAAGCCTCACTGTAGATACTGATTCATCATAATGAACATATTGAGCAAAAACACCCTGACCTCCACTTGGAAATGACTTGCAGTGACGTGTCGTGTCTGTGTTGCGAGAAGCTGCCGTGACCTCTGCCATCTTTTTCCCTAGTTGAAGCCATCCCTTCAGCGAGGGGGGAGTTCTGCTTCTTTACACAACAGCACCATGAGAAACACCATTTTTCAGCTCATGATTCACACGTTAGACCCTCTGGGAGATGGTAAGTACCACATTTATGCCTCTGACGCCTTTTGTGATGGATAACTGCATGATAATAACTTTTACACAGACTTCCTGTGTGGTATGTTCTGCCCAGTGTAAAATGGATTAGCTAGGTGTCCCGTATGCAGTCATCTCTAAGTCCAGATTGATACTAAGCAGATAAATACTCCCTCAGTATGCAGAAGGATCCAGTTGTGGATCCAGGTTGTGTCATAAAAAAAGAAAAACATTATTCTAGTGCCAAAACTGGCAGTGAAATAATTTCTCTTTCTATGCTTAAAATTTTACAAGAGTTATTCTGTGATTTCTTTTTTCTTTTTTGAAAAACTATTGCTGTCTTTGAATTTTACATGTTTATTAAGGTAGCTTAGCTGCTGTGTTTATATCATTGTTGCTGCCTGCTTTGGCTCTTTTGTGGACTCACACAATATTGAATCTGTGTTTTCAAAAGCAGTAAATATTTAACATTTCACACTTTCTGACTTATTAATGCATTCAACGTGATTATTTGCGTTTATTTTGAAGGAAAGTTTAAGGAAAAGGCTGAGACCTTGAACAGTGTGGCCAGACGGAAGTCAGTTTCCAAGTCCCAAGAGAAAAGTGAAGGTAACAGGAAGGATCTGATGATCAAGCACTGATATTTGAACAGAATAGTAGATCAGAGGTCGTATTAATGAAATGTAGGAGTATAATAGAGATATTTTAAAGCTACTAAATGCTCCCAATATTTCTTGTCAAAAGAAGCCCTCATTGGCTCTCAGAGTAAAGTTTTCTAAAGTACTTTGTGGCTCACACTGATGCAAAAATTTTTTTGAAAATGTGTACTTGTTTACATACATTAATACTCCATATGACCTTTTTTTGGTCCAAAACCACCTCAGACAAATTTCTGACGAAACTGTTTATGATTTCCTCCACAGGCAAAAGTGGAAAAACTGAGGAGTCCAAAGAGCCAGAGGCCGCCCCAGCCAAAGATGCAGAAAAGAAGGAAGAGCCAGAAGCAAAGAAGGTACTCGCTACCCATGACCTGCTGACTTTCAAAAAGCCCAGAAGTCAGTCTTTGATACCAGTCTATGTAAGAATCAAAGCACAGGGATTTCACTATTTATATCAGGTTTTATTTTGACTAAAAAAAAATAAAAAAAAATCTTTCCTCGTGTTATATTTGGACTCCATCTCCTTTCTTCCTTCTGAAGGACGACGTTCCGGCAGAACAAGGTGACTCGGAAGGTTCAGACGATTCCGACAGCGACGAAGACGACAGCAATGAAGAGACTGAGGAGTCCAGTGAAGATGAGGATGAAGATGAGGATGAAGATGAATATGAGGAGGAGGAGGAAAAAGAAGACGACCCACTGTCTTTACAGTGGCCTGACACACCACGCAAACAAATCACCTACCTCTTCCTGCTGCCCATAGTCTTCCCTCTGTGGCTCACAGTTCCTGATGTTCGGAACCAGGTTGGAGACATTTAGGAGACGTTTCAAGGTGCCGCTGTGATATTCTGAATTCCTCTACAGGTCTGCCTTTATACTTTGACTTTACTCAACAGAAATCCAGGAAATTTTTTGTGCTCACCTTCCTGGGCTCCATTATGTGGATTGCTATCTTCTCCTACCTCATGGTCTGGTGGGCTCATCAGGTCAGTTCATGCAGTCCTTCAATACAAGAAGCGAGGAATCAACATCCAATTTATTTTGAATCCCTAATTAAATTTTCCACATGTTATTTCTTTCTCTGATTTTTTGTTGTTGTTGTTGTTGTGAGGTGGGAGAGACCATCGGCATCTCAGAGGAAATTATGGGCCTGACTATCCTGGCGGCAGGGACCTCCATCCCTGACCTCATCACCAGCGTGATTGTGGCTCGCAAGGGCCTGGGAGACATGGCGGTGTCCAGCTCTGTGGGCAGTAACATCTTTGACATCACAATGGGGTGAGTTCTCACAGTTTGACCTGCCAGTATTAGAAAATAATCAACTGATTGCCCCCACAAGTGATTCCTGCATCTTTCATTTGTCTCTGCCAGCCTGCCCATCCCATGGCTCCTGTACTCTTTCATCCACGGTTTGGCTCCGGTCGCTGTCAGCAGCAACGGCCTTTTCTGTGCCATCGTGCTGCTCTTCCTCATGCTCCTCTTCGTCATCATCTCCATCGCAGCCTGTAAATGGAAAATGAACAAGGTGCTGGGCTTCACTATGTTTCTCCTCTACTTTATCTTCCTGGTGCTCAGCGTCATGCTGGAGGATCGTGTCATTGTCTGCCCTGTTTCCATCTGAGACTGCAAACACAAGCCTTTTTCCCACGGTAGACACTTTCCCATGGAGGTGGAACTTAATATCGCTTTTTTTTTAAAAAGTAATTCTCATGAAAACCTTTTTTTTTTTGGACCATTTGAAACAATAATTGCAAGTAAATTTGATATACTCTTAACACCAATAGTAGCACCGCACAATCTTTAGTTGTAAAAGTACCTATGCAACTGTGTTCAGAGTGAAATATATCTGTTTACTGAAGTTTTTATAATTTCTTCCATTTCCATAGTTTTTGACTTGGGCTTGGAGTATGTTTAAAAGTACAAAACCTGTAATTTCATCTCAAGGTTCTCAAGGTTCAAACAGAACTTTCCTTTGGTGAAATTTCAAGTTTAATCAGATCTTTAAATTAGTTTACTCAAAATGAATTTGTATTTTCTTTGAGGACTTTAAAATCCATTAGATGTTATCCATCTTTGACCTTGTTTTTCTAAATTGCATAGAGAGCTCTTTAGATGTTGACATTGCAAAGGCACAGAAACATCCAGGTTTTATAAATGGCACACAGTCTGGAGCCCATGTTTTAACATGTTTGGATTATGTGGTGTAATAAACACATGATTGTATTTACATTGCAAGTTAATGATCTGCTTTTTAATAAAGTTGTTACAGTTATTTTGCTGTTTGCATCCCCCTCAGTTGCTGTTCAAATCCGGGGCGAGTCCCAGTTTTGTCACTACCTGAAATGGCAGTGAAAAATAATTTACCTACCGTTAAATTGAGACTGCAAACACAAGCCTCTCTCTCTCTCTCTCTCTACATATATATATATATATATATATATATATATATATATATATATATATATATATATATATATATATATATATATATATATATATATATATATAAACTAAACCAGTATTTGTATGTTATGCCAAGTCAACATGACTTGTTGTGTCCGAGTGGATGAGGGAATTTTGTGTGCTGAAGCGAAGAAAAAACACAAAGTGAAAAAAATTTGCAATACAATATAAAACTCATGAAACATGAAGGTTTCATAAAACATCAGTTAATCACACAAAGCAACAAGCAAACTAAATGTTATCTGTCATCTATCCATTACATGAATGTAATCATATCAATAAAGCTACTGCAGTAACGAGAAATCAGATTTTTGATCAGATGAGACGATTGATTTATTTGCAACCAACATTCAAAGGGCTGGTAATTTTGTAAAAAAAACAAAACAAACAAAAAAAAACAAACAACCGTTATAGTTTAACAATAAATAACATTAAATAGTGCATTATTGTGAGATTATGTAAAAATAACAGACTATTTATATTATGAGGCTTTTAATACATTTTTACTCATCAGGGTTGACAGTTAGTGTGAAACATGTTGTAACTATGACCCCAAACACATTTTAATACGTTTGCAATGTGAAAGTATGAATCTAAAATGTGCACACAGTGTGGACAGGGCAGCTTTGATAGTGTGAATGTGTCTTAAATGTAAATCTTGCAACATTATTTCCATAACTGTGTTGGAGTAAATTCCAGCTTTTTTTTTTTTTTTTTTAAGGTAATCAGCTTAGTTTGAGGAATGACAAAGCCTGAAATCCACTTGGTAAACGTGTTTATTCATAAATGAAGGCAAAGTATTGATCCGCTCAGGGAAGAAATTGTTTTCTTCTTTTATGTAAAAATCATACAAATTAGTATCTGTGTTACAAACAATAAATAACACTTCAGAAACATTGTTAAAGTCGACAGTTAGTGTAAACATCACATAAGACATAACATTACATTTTGGTCATCAATGGTTTTCAGACACTTATCAGGTGGTGATAATGCAGATTTACATGTTTTGAGGTTGGTGTTTGAGCCAAGCACACAACCTTGACTTATCCAGCATTATATCATCAGAAGTGATTGTGAAGCTCAATATAAATGGAATCTCAGTTGTTGTTGTTTTTTTGTTGCTAAGATGTATTAAGATGCTGAAGTTTCACACTCAATTTTAAAGTGAGATTTAATTTGGGCAGGTCAGAGCTTAATCGTGTAACTTTTGGGTGATGATTGCAGTGCAAATAAACTCTGGCAGCTATTCAAAGTAGTAGTGGGTTCAAATCTCTTTTTGACCTGTTATTCACAACAAACAGTGCACAGTATTCAAAATCTACACCAAAAACAAAACTTACAAAATACAAACATTCTGTACATTTACAGGACCTATGACAATTATTATTTGTAAAAAACAAACAAACAAACAAAAAAAGCTTTATTAAAGCAAAAAAAAAAAATGTAATAAAATTTGATTACACTGTTTTAGATATCCTTTTATGGCTGAATATTATACATATATTTTTTAAATTACCTCTTTAAAAAAAGCTTGGGAACCTGTAAATAATATAAATAATATTCCCTACTGGGTCTCTTTAAGCTCATTGTTAAAAAAGGATGAATGATTCAAGGCAGGAGATATGTGTTAATTCGTTTTTACCTCATTGCTTCCAAACCAGTGTTGTTATTACCACACGGTTTAATGTATCCAGGTAAATGAACATGCTATAGTTTTACAGAGTTCATGTTAGAACAAGTAGACTCAGCTTTATTGAATGAATCCAACTCAAATGTCAGTACAGTACAGCAACTCCTGCAAATGCTAAATGAAGCGTGACTTTGTAGCTTTGGTTGCAGGGCCACTGAGTTATCTAACAGAGGACGTGCAGCTCATCCTGTCAAAGTGCTTTGTAAAATCACAAACATCTAACAGCAACAACAGTCTAAACAAGGTCACCGGGACCACTGAGAACCTTTTAATAATGTGATCTTATGCCCACATTTGCCCACTTATTCACAGCTTCAACAAACACAGAGTCATAAAATAGACTGTATTACAACTGTACAAACATGTTACTGCAGGGATATTCAAAATATGGTCATTTTTCTCCAATATATATATAAACACAAGGCCTTCATACCTCTCAGCTCTAACAGTACAAGAAACTCATGGCAGTTGCTTTGCATTAAGGGGGAATTTTTTATTTGATTTTATTTTTTTTTACCATTGTGCTTACTAAAAGCTCCATGCCCAAGTCAGGTGAGCTGGTCCTGAGTGTGAAGAGCAGTCCAACATGACAGCAGCAGTGACTGTGGTTGAAGTTTTTATACATATATATATATATATATATATATATATATATATATATATATATATATAAAATATGACGTTCACAAACTGGGCTCTCCAAACGTCCTCCGGCACTCCATGACCCCAGCGCCCGGAGGCCTGTCACAGTTGTGTGTCAGTTTAACTTGGTTGGGGGAGAGGCGATCATAGGCCAACCTGTACTCCCGATCAAAGGCATCTGCACAGAGAGAACACAATAGTTTAATCTGACCATTCAATAGCTCAAGATGACTTTATAAAGGTATACACAGTGCCTTGCAATTTCCTGTAATATTGTTACAATCATATATTTCAATGTATTTTATTGGGATATTAAGTGACTGACATAATAGCCTGGTAAAATACAGTCTCCAGATTGAGAGATGGAGAAACCCCAAAACACGTGCAACTGTCATTTAAGTAATAGACAGTTGCACAAAGTACTGACTCAAAGAGAGGATGAGAACAAATGTGCACCACACGTTTCTAATTTGTATTTGAAAAAAAAAAAAGAGGTAAAGTTATGAATCAATTTTTGTTACACTTTATGGTTATGCATTACCTTTTTGGGGTGTCTCACAAAAAAAAGAATCCAGTAAAATTCATTGAAGTTAGTAGTTTTAATGGGATAAATGTGAAAACTTAAGGGTGCCGTGAATAGTTTTCTGGGGAACTGCAGATCTCAGCCTGTTGCTGTTTATCAAGCAATTTTTTTTTTCTGCTGCTAGCAAGGATAAAAGGAGTGAACTTACTGATATTAATGTTGTTCTTCCCCAAAGCCACAAGAGTTAGAAACAGTAAATCTCTGTAGAGGCTCCTTTTAGGGTAGAAGAGATAGAGAGAGAGAGAGAGAGAGAGAAAAAAACACTTTAGACTTTCCATCCATATCATCTTCCCCAGGCAGTTTAGAACAGCACAGGCATCTTTCATTCCCACCTCTGTCTCTTGAAACCCAACTCGGGCCCCAGCAGCTGGATGATCTGGCTCATGGGCTGATAGACGTCGCTCTTCTTGATGCTCCTCACAAAGCCCTGCAGCAGCTCCACAGTGAAGAGCTGCCCTTCTTCGCACAACCCAGAGCGAATCAAAGAGTTGGCACCTGTAAAAACAGAGCAAAGTCAACGTCAGCCTGATCAAAGGATCATTCATCTCCGACGCTCAAAGTCGACCAAGACAGCAGAGCCACGACGAATCCTGAGATAAATTATGTACGATGCTCCAGGTTTACCATAGACTAACTTTTTAAAGTAAATGCGCCCTCTTAACAGCAAGAACACTTTGGTGAAAATATAGACCTCTACATTTTACCACAGTGTATTAAAGAAAATGCAGAATCAACTTACAGTGTGTGTTCCACAGGACATAGCAGGGTTGAACTTTATCTTTGTGCAGCTTCAGGTTGTCCCACATAATCCTCACCAGCACCTGCTTGCTGTCCTCAGATGAAGCAGACTGGGGAATCTGGAGGGAATAAAATATGTGAGCTTACTCCTTTTTGGTGTTGGGTCTTTTGGGGGTAATTTTAATATTGCAAAGTCTGTATGCTTGCTTGAGAGCGATGGTTATTTAACACTTCATCATTTTGCACATTTGCTGTTTTAGTCCTTTCCAACCCAGATTTTATACCACAGGAGATTTTAAATCAACCATGGGGCAATTTTTTTTAAAAGGGGTGTGTTTCGTACCATCTTTGGAAGTCAATTATGTATAGGAATTTTCTATAGTTTACCATCAACTAACTTTTTAAAAGAGCATGTATGATGATATAAATCAGAAAATAAGTTAAATTATGTGTGAGAGCTACCTAATTCATTACAAAAATTTAAATGTATAGAAAAATAAAGCAATAGAAATTATCTTAACATGGATGTGAAATGGTTATTTCAGAGCTGGTGCTTCATAGTAGTTATTTTCCCTCTACTTAACACTAGGAGGCGCCAAACACCACAGTTGAATTCAACAAAGAGAAACTATTCTTTTCATAATCTCCGCCCCCTCCTATACATGTTATAGTGATATTAAGTTAAAAATATAAGCGTTGCCTACAGATGTACATGTACTACTGATAACTACCTGGTCACCATGGCTACAATGTTGGGAAGCCAGGATAAGAGCAGGCAGGTTACTGGGCAGCTCCAATCTTCTGAAGTACCATACAAGGTTCCAGAAGACGATGGGATGTTGGTCAACGACGCTCGGGGAGGAGATGGCCTGGTCTCCCTCGTTCACCAGCAGGCTCTCCAGCTCCTTCCACAGAACCAGGGGGCTCAGGTACGGCACTGTCACCGGATCAGGAGATGATGCTTGTGCCAAGATTGGGCCGTCACTGCGAACACTCCAGCTGCTCTCCTGCTCCAGAGCAGGAGCCGCAGATGGCTGAGCTGCCTCAGACAATTTGGCTTCGGGGCTGAGCGGTGCAGACGTGTCCTCCTCTTTAACAGGATTACTCCACTTAGATGGC